GCCTACCGCCAGGTTTCTTCTAGTCACACCCACATAACTTTTTTCGATTCCTAACTGTTGATTTTCAAATGGCATTTTATATACCCCAGCTTTCTCTCCTTTTTTTACGTTGTCTTTATCGTTCCGTAGTAAGCTATAGATATTGGGTGCTCTTTTATAGACCATTTTCGAGTTTTTATAAGAAACTAACTCATTCACCACACTACGTAAACGGCTATTGTATGTGAATTTGTTAATTCCTTCTGAGTTAGTATCTTTTTTTGCCTTTATTTTCTCCGTAACCTTTGATCAGCCCTTCAATTGTGGCGGTTTTGTAACCCAAAGTTGCAGCAACACTTTGCTACAACATAAAAATGCTCTTCTAGTGAGTGCTTCAAATGCCGATAATTTATATTTATACGGGTTGTTGGACCAAGATGGAATGTAGAGAGGAGCATGTGTGGGTTTTAAGTACACAACAGTGTGTATATATTCCTTGTTTAAATCTTATATCAATGTCCAAAAAATGGAGTAAGTATGGCTTTTTTTGTTTTAGTTTTAAACCATGATCATTATTGTTGATTGCGAGTAAAAATTCTTGAACCCGTCGGTTATTATTTCAAGTTATAAATACGTCATCGACATATCGTTTGTAGAGTATAATGTCCTCGAAGAAACCTCTGAGGATGATGATCTCTTTCCAGTTTAGTTCGCATAAGAGTCCTGATATAGGACTTATCGTTGGACACCTTCCTTTTGTCTGTATGTTACCCGGTTGAATCTAAAAAAAGAATTGGTAGCACATCAAGTCAGCTAGATTATTTATATTCTCAGAGTATGCCGATAACATTGGATTGTGTTGGACCACGAATTCAACGAGTACATTGAAGCAAGATGCTAATGGATGGGTACAGATTTTCGAAGTCCATTACAGCCCTTATTTCGTCGTTCGTGTCTTCACCACTTTATTTAGATCATGAGCAACGTAATTATTGTTCTAGCTGTTCAGAAATGTACTTTTTTAAACCCTTCTCTAGTATATATGTTGGTGCGTTACATTTTTCCACTGCCGGCCTGATCTTCTTCTGTTTTTTGCCAATGCAAAGATTCTAGGCATCTGGGGCTGGGGTTATGTGCTGTTTTTAGGAACGTCAAGAAAGACGCGAGTGGCGTTTTTTCAAGCTTTTTAACTTATTTGTCAGTTAGTGTGACTATTTTTTTATCCACAATTTCGCAGTTAGTTTTTCTAATGTATGGCCTCATTGTAATGCCGTCTTTTCATAGTTACCATTTGCTTGGTTTTATCTACCTTCGTTAGAACCAACTCATTTTTTGTATAACTTACATTTAACTATTCCTCTCCTTTTTGTCCGTTCCACCAGCATAGAAAAAGAAATCTGGAGTATATATAATACCGTTTGAGAACAAACAGTTAGGAATGGCAAAGGGTTAATTGAAAATGATCGAATAGCAAATGTACAGTACAGTGTGGACTTCGTACATTTTTCTTTGGCTTTGGAGACGTGTTTTGGGGAAAATATTTTCTCATAGAAGACTGGTTGGAAACAAGCTGAAAAATACGATTACACATTGAATTAATCAAAGATTGCAGTCGTTCTTGGGGAATATTTTCCCATGCCTCGGAGAGAGCAGCCTTTAGTTCGTGACTGTGTTGTATTGCTTTCCACTGCTATACATTTGGAAAACCAAGTCACCCCAAGGATGTTCAATTGGCTTTAAATCTGCGCCGAGGGGTGGCAGTCCAAAAGTCGAATGTTTTTGCTGTGAAAAAAGAATAACGTTGATATGCATTGATATAAAAGGGAAAGGATTAAACAGTAGTAGTAGTGTTCTAAAGAATATATAGTCGACCGCCCTATAACACGGTAGATTTTTCCGTTTTATATGAATTCCATGTTGTACGAATCACTTAGATTTTACAAATACGTGTGCCGGGTTGTAAACGGATCACGTATTTGTAAAATTAAGTGACTCGTACAACATGGAATTCATATAAAACGGAAAAAAAAACAATGTTGTACGAGTCACTTAATTTTACAAATACGTGAGCCGTTTACAACCCGGCACACGTATTTGTAAAATCTAAGTGATTCGTACAACATGGAATTCATATAAAACGGAAAAATCTACCGTTTATAGGGGGTCGACTGTAATTCTATTTAATATTAATAAACGAACAAGGGTTGTAAAATAGGATCAGAGTTTACGGGTTTAAGATTATCGGGATTTGCAAGGGTATTAGAGTAAATATAGCAATAATAAAATTCGAGTAGGCTATAAAAAACGTAAACAGTAAACAGAATCCCGAGACATCCCCCAAAAGGAGAAATCATGGGCGTCTCCCGAGTTTACACCGTGTATTTTCGAATGCGTTCCTCGTGTATAATCAATAGAAATAGCTACGTGAACACAGGTCAGAGACGCTTGGTATCCTGTTTTGAGTACACGGCCGGAATAGAAAATCCGCCAGATTATGTCAGTATCTTGTGATGATGGAAATAAGACATCCTGTTAATAACTCAAACTAATACACACCCCTTTGTGACACACAACTGTTTTACAAGCCCTACAGGCACAAAGTCTCAGACCAAAGATTTGTAACGCTTCTACGATATGCAAGATATCTCAAATTGTATCCTTAGATCCCGAAGAATTCTTTGCTTCAAGTTTTTGCGGGCATCCTCAATATCCATTCCTTGGTAAAATCTTTCCAAATCCGTTTGGGCATTCATCGGTCGTCCATTTTTAAGTTATATTTCAACCATCCGTAACACCTCACTGACGTTTAGATACACAATCGTATTTTTAAACTTTACGCGTAAGAAACTGTTAAAAATTCTGACGTTACTTCTATTGTAATCGTAAATTACACAAATTTATTGAACTTGTCACGATTCCCCGTGTCTTCTGGGCATTGTTGCTCATTCAATTTTATTGCTGCTTTCCCAACTCTCCTTGTTCATTAGTTAATTGAGAGCGTCTAACGGAACATTTCTGGTATACACAATCTATTTCGCAAGTACTCGTATACCATCATTCCAGAGGATTCCGAGTTCGATTCCAGATAAGATCTTCAAAAAATTTTCATGAATATTTTGGCTCACATTGCAAACTTGGACAAATCTGTACTTTAATAGAAATGGATTCTGCTGCAACAGTATAAAATTCGAAATTGATTTTTGTTTCTTCTTAAATAATTCAATTTAAAATTTTACCCCCACGTCTGACGGATCCAAAGCGTTATACAAAACTGAGTCCATTGGCACATTATTCAAATGAATCACAATCTTTCTTCGTACAATGGTAAATTCCTGCACATTTACAACATGTGAAGATATACAGGGTGATTCGAGATGAACCACCACGCGCATGCATCAAACATGTTGACATGAGTTTGCCGTGAATTCGAATTAAATGGGGGAAAAATGCCTACGCCAAAGTGTCCCCTTTAGCGTAGGCATTTTTTAGATCATTCAAATTACAAAAGTAAATATTAGAAATTACTAAATCGATAATTTTCCATGGTATTAATTTATTTCATTTTTATCATCAATGTATAAATTATTTTAAATTTTTTAAACGGCCGTTTTTATTACTACAAAGATAGCAATAATTTACACATTTCGAAAATGGTAGGATTTTAATGTAATAAATGGATATACATACGAACGTACACAGGAAAAATGTAAAAAAAAAATTTTGCTGAAAATTTTTGATCAGAATCTAAATTATTTTGATTAATATTGTTAAAAATTATTAAGTCAACATTTTTTTTGAAAGTCAAGCTGTGTAGAGTAATAATTACTTCCAAAAAACGTTTGCTTAGAATTAAATTTGAATAATTTTTTTTAAAATTAGTACCCAAATTTAGTTTAAAAATTTTTTTTGGCAAAATTCATGTTACCAAAAAAGATAGTGTGTAACAATTCAGTATTTTCCTGGTTAACTAGGAACCAAAACCATGTATTTTTGGAGGAAGAATTTTTTTTATTTATATAAATTTTAAGTCAAATTGTTATAACATTTTCAAATAGTTCCATTAAAAACATCATTTATGTTTATAAAATTATATAAAGCTTTTTTGAAGGAATTTCTCTAACAACTTATGCTTTTTTTTTGGTATGAATCAATCTATTTTATAATGCCATAGAGTTTTTTTTTTTCCTCCAAATTTATACACTTTACAGAAACAAAACTTTTGCAGCTATTTTAAATTTACTAAATTTCACATTTAAGAAGATAAATTTTTTGATGTGGGCCGTAGAAAGGAATAATAGTAATAATTACAAATTGCCTTGCAATTAGTTCCGTAGAAAAATCATTAATAAGAATATTAGTAATAAAATTTCATGGGAGTTTTTATTTCCTAGAACTGTAATCCATAAAATAATAGCAAAAAAATCTTAGAAGAAAAAATAAATAAATAAATTTTAAAATTTTCCTTTGCTGCTACAAACAAATTTCCTTTTGCTCCACAAATGTAATTAGACATTACGGAATCCGAAGGATATTTAAAAATCTAAAAAGTAAAATTCGTTCTCTTCTTTTCAAATTAATATTTTGACAAGGACGTAGGACAAGGACAAGGATCAATTATTTTCTACAATGATTCTTCCTTATTTTTCCTTTCCTTTAAAACTTTTTTTTTGGACTGACTGACCGACTGCTAAATTATTATTTAGTAGCCTTATGAAAATTTGTAATTACAATATTTAGAAAAACAAAAAACCCATATTCAGTTTTCACTGCTAATCAATGTTTATTTGTCACACTACCATCAAAGTTTTCTCCCACACAGTTGTATTCAAGTTTCAACACGTCAAAACAATTGCTGGTGCAGTAAGAATGGGCAAGGAAGAGGCAAGGAGACAAACGTCATCTTAGTATACATACCATATCAAATAAAAATACATGAGAATAAATTTCTTTTTCCCTTTTGATCTTAAAAAATAATTAACTTTAGAAGAAGAAAAAAAATTCCAAATGAATATCAAATATTCTATTCATTACAATTCATATACACAAATGATATATATAATAATGTTATACAAATTTAATGGCTTTGCTACTGGTTCCACCCTTAGTCCAAGCAAAAATTCATCTCACTCTATGTTGCTCGATTAATCGGTTATGTTTAAACTAATTTTAAAACCGTGATTGATACGTATAAAGCACGAGAGAGAAAAATAAACAAAAATGAATAATAATGGGCACATATAAATTCTGTTTGCCTTGCCTCCCCCTCACAATAACCTACAGGTGGTCACAACACTGATTTTCAAAGTGCTGGGGCACAACACGCTGTCTGGCAATTATGATCTAAACAACACAGTTTAAACAAGACAGCCAAAAATTAGGTGCATCTGTAATGATTTATTTATTAGTTAATTTTTTTTTTCTTATTTTATTTTATGAAAACAATGTTGTGCCCCAGAAACTTTTTATCAGTTTAATTAAAAAGTAACAAATAAAGTTATCTGCTGGGAGGCTGTCTTCATATCACGGCAATAGTTGATGTGTAGATGGAGGGTATTTTTTTTATAGGATGTTTAACAGGATTTTTTTTATACGTACAATTTTTTCCCCTAGAGTTTTCTATTTTCTCCACTTCACAGGAGCAACTGATGTCCATAAATTTTTATGGACGGTCACAATTTCCATAATAATGATAGTTGTTGACCGCCAAAAAATCTTTCTTTGAAAATTTATTTTCTACTGAGTTTTGGGAGTTTGCCAAATCCACAATGAAGTCCATGTGCCATTGATTCCCATTCTTCGTGCTGCACAAGCTGGTCCTGTACTGTTAATGCTTGTGACAGAATGTGTCACTTGAGAATTAACCATATCACTATTGATCACACTGCAATAAACAGTAGATGGTCTGACAAATGTACCATTTGTATTTTGACAATTTTTCTTGTACTTTTTTAAACAATTGATTTATTTATATCATATATAATTGTATTCCTTTGTTAGTCCCACAAAAAACCAGGTGCCAGAAATCCAACACAATGCACAATGGCAAATAAGTAAACTATGAAAGCAGGGTTAACAGGATAGCCAAAGATGAGAAGCAGAAAAAACAATGGAGTTTATAGGTAGCTGACAAATTTCTAGATGATGGGTTTCTTTTTTAAAGGAAATTAGAAGTATGTGGTTGACTCCATGTTGCCAACAAACAATGTCCGTTGAAAAACAATGGCCAACCATTCATACAGCCTAGGTACCAACATTTGCTAATGGTCATTCCTTTCTAGGATGGACTTTACCTAACAGAAAAAGAAAAATGTTTATAAATATATATATATATTAAATATTTGTTATTTTTTTTCAAAATATTAAATATATAAAATTATCCTAATAATAATAATTAATAGAACTGAAAAAATAATTAAAATTTAAACTGGTGTTTTAGATATTTGAACTAAAACCTGTAACTTACATTAAAGAATTTTTTGCAAACTAAATTAATTATCATATATTTCAAGAAATTGAAATATACACTCCCATAGAGTACTATATGATCCTGTGATCCAATTCACAGGCTAAACACTTCAAAAATCATTCTTTGTACTTCATGCTACTATTCTTTTTATACTGTATTTGTTTTATTTTATATCCTTTCAGTCACTTCCAATCCCATCTAGAGCTTTGATGCATCTCAAGCATTATCAGGTGCAAAGTTTGTTGTATTAATGCAAAAATAATAAATATGAATACATCTAAAACAATGGAAATTGCTATCAATCTCTTTAAAAAACCATTTTAAAAGTTTGAATAACCTGCCATTCACTTTCAAAAATAATTTTTATATCATATTTAATTGTGTTTTATCCTAAGAATCTTTAGGTATAAGCTTATAACTGAATAAAAAATGTTCATTAAATGTACATTAAAAACAGTTATTGATTAGAAGATATTATAATTCTGTATCAATCAGAGAGAAACTGATTAATTGGAATAATTTAATTGTATTACTAAGAAGTCCTTTTAAACATGTGCTCTTAATATTATGACTGTTCCTAACGTTAAGGCTTAAAAACATGTTCAGGACACCTCCCAAACAAATTACAGGAATGATCTTAAACTCCCTTAGGGCAATATTTTACCTTTGTTTTAAATGCATCTACTCTAATTTCCTATGATCATATATCTTTGGTTTAGTAATATGATTCTTAGCTGTGTCTGCCAACAAAAATTTTAATTTTAATTTCAATTTTATACGACCTTATCCCTTCAGGACAATGCTCGCATCTCTTATGGGCATTTGTTTACCTTTGTTTTAATAAGGCAATGTAGAGACCATCCACAGTACACGAGCGGGACGTCGT